GGTGCCGCTATAAAGAGCTTCGCCCCTAAAAAAATGTCGCGAATCGTATTTTGAAAGCGCTGGGTTAGAGTGCCTTGATCCGTGCAGCAGAGGCAAACGAGCGCACCGAGGCACGTTAGACACGAGAGCTAGCTGGCAGTGATCTTTGGAAACAAAACATGGCGTGTGGGCCTGTCTCTGAGGCGGTAAGGTGTAGAACGCAAAGCTAGGGAGCCTTCATGTGCGCGCGTCTCCATGTTTTAGGGTGGTGACAACTCCGATCATGGTTGCTTACAACAGGCTAAAACGGCCCCCATACTTGACGGGCCACCATGTTGGTTTCGAGTAATCGCTCATTGACATTGACAGCAGTGTGGGTTTCAACGAGAAGAGGGTATTTCTTATATAGCAAGTGCTGAAGGCTGAAGAGTTGTTTTCTGAAGTTAGCCGCGGTTTGGTAGAACAGGAAAGACATGTTCGTGACTCGAGTTTGTATAAAATACTGTTAAACAGTTCTTTTCTCCCACTTGTTAGACCTACCGCATTGGCGGAGTGAGGTTATTTAGGTAGCCTATATTTGCGAGGGGGAGAACCTCGATGTCACTAGGAATGGACTTCAATGTCTGCGCTCCATTCATGAAGCATATTCACCTTAGCACTGCAAGTACCTCAAAAGCCTCTTAGTTCAAGGCTCGAAACCGTGCTGTTAATATTTATTTATTTATTCAAAATACCTTACAGGCCAACTTAAGAGCATTGAGTAAGGGGGAACTCGTAACGACAGGGAAGGCAGAACAAACAACCGGGTAGCTCGTGTGGTTTTCTGTAAAACGAATAGCTCAGCTAGCCTGTTTCTCATACCTTAAACATTGCGTTTCTCCGTAATTTAATTTCCTACAGCAAGTTTAGTTCCTGCGAATGAATCTGTACAACGACTGCTCAAAAACCTTACAAGCTGTAAGCATTGCCCGAAAAAGTAGGGCATTCAATCGCATTACACCGCCCTCCCCCTATGCCCATAAGCCTGTATATTAGGCTAGAAGAAAAGCAAAGGGGAGCAACGAGGGACAAATCAAGTTTTCTCAGGTCAGATTTTATTGCAAACAGCATTCAAACGGCATGTGGCCTTGTGTCTTCAAACTATCCTGCCTCCTTTGCTGGAAGCTTGTGTCCTCGCAGTGGGCCTAGAGTAAAGCAATAAGACAAAAAATCATACAAAGCTCCGACCACATATACGGAGTTCATACACATTTTTTCTACAAGCACTAAATAAAAGCAGAGTTTACGATATCAAATCATCTGTGTGTCAGGTTATGAAACAAAAGGACGACACAAATAACGATGCACCGCATAGGGAATATTTGAGTTATGGGCTGACAACCGACTTGCTCAGTGCACATATACTGCACCGTTCAGGACCGACAGATAGACAGAAGGATGGACGGACACGAACAGTAAATCTGTCGCATTCTATGTTATTAAAGAGAAGTCCTGCTTGCAATTATTGAGCGAGTTTCGGTGTGGTTGCGCGTGTCATTGAAGCGAAGAACGAATACCCCATGGCAAGCCACAAAAAAAGTTACTTGCGTTGCAACTGTGAAAGAGCAGTGCCTACAGGGAACGCGTTCATCGGCTCGTCTGTTTACTTCTCCAAATGCCCTTCCTCAGCAACCGAGGTAAAATTGCAGGAATGCGAACATCTGCCAGAAAAGGAAGAAGCGAACGGGAGCGTCTGTAGGCGGTTTACGGGCCTGGCGTTTTTTGCGACGAATGCGGTGACGGCTTCGGAAACCGACAAAGTGCAGATAGTGAATAGATGCAGGACCACACATTCGACTAGTCATATCATTCGATTGAAGAACTGCGCTTCGACTACTAGGATAAACAAGCATATTAAACCATCTTCTGCTCGCACAGCGTAACCGAACGAAGCCTAATTCATTATTATATTGTGCACGTTGTCGTGCTTACTTTGTTCAAAATGCTTTTCGTTGCATGGCTAAGTCAGCCATTTCATGAAATGTGCGGTGATATACTCAACCCACTCGCAATACAACGGGTGCTCACCTCCCAAACACGGCGAGAAGTAGTCGCCTCCAAGCAGTCTCACTTCTCTTCTGTAGCCCAGCGTTTCTGTTGGCTAGAGCAAGTCGGGAAGTGGGAAGGTCTCCAGATGGTTTTGCATTGTGGCACGCTGCACCCTGGCATATAGACTTCAAAGTTCTTTTATGTGTGGTTAGCACGAGGATGGTGTCGTAGCGGAAGCTACGTCTATGGGGTAACCAAACGCAGCTCATACCGCAGCTTGCACACCCGCGCCAACATGCAGCTGGTGCAGTGCGACGGAGCAGGAACGCCTGGTCACAAGAACCAACATGGCGCCTGTTGCCACGGCAACTGGGACTGGCAACATTGTGTTTTAGCGGGTGGCGGTAATTGGTGGATCAAAGGCTGACACCACCCATAGCCTCCTCTATAACTTTGTGCCCGAGCGGTCGGTCCCTCAGCGCCGTCCCCCGAGCTATTATGGGATGCGAGCGCTCCTGGCGGAGCGCCGAGGCGCAAAACGAGAGAATGGATGGCAGCTATGGAGAAAAAACCGGCTTTGAGTAACTACCGAAAGGGCAAAAATGAAATAAGGAGGGAGGCATTTTACGATAATTCAAGGGGAAGCGCTTTACTGTTTGAAGCGAGATCGGGTTGCCTTAGAACGCGTAGTTATAAAGCAAGATTCAGTAAAGAAGAAGAACAATGCACATGCTGCGGGAAAGATAAGGAAACGGCGGAGCATGTTCTGATTGAATGTGGAGATATCCACCCAGGTGTACGTTTGGGCACGAGCCTACAGGAAGCCTTGGGAGAGCCTCGACAGGGGGAAGACGTTGCTCCCAACGCCAGATGTTGCTGCACTAGCAATGGTTGGTGGCTATATTGCAAGAACAGTCCACGAAACCATTTCCTGTGATGAATGCTTCACTTTGGTGACTAAACCAAACACCTCTGCGCCATCGGATGCATTAATTAGGCACCAGGACAGAGGTGGACTCCTGTATCCGTCAATTGAGCTCGTAATGGTTCTAAATTCTCTAAAGAATTACGCGGAAGTTTTCCTCGCAAGAGCGAGAAAGATGAATCAGCCACTGAAGGCTGCCGTTGACAACGCCGCGCAAATACTACAGAAACGTGACAAACTCAAGTGCTCGACCCCGGGACATCATAAAAAACTTTTGGAGGTTGTGCTCGTGAAGTTTCTCCGCCCACTTTTTCTGAACTTCGCGACGAGTGTGACTGACAAACACGACTTGGCAAAAGATTTTCATGTCAAACCATTGTCTCGAAAAGTGCTCAAGCTTTGAGCGCGAAATCAAATAACAAAGCTCACATTGCATTCTGCATACAGTGCTTGTGTTAAAAATTTGGTGTGTGCGCACTTCTTAACGTATACGCATAATCCAATGCAATGTAGACGGTTTCTAGACCGTCATAAACGCAAGCGTGCATAGGCCGCGTCGTCTGCTGTTATTATGGGATCGGTGCGGCATCTGGCGGCGAGCGCCAAAACTATAAGGGACGGATGGCGCGTATGTATTTAGCGCTAATGCGCGGGCACAAAAAAATATAGGAGGCTATGCACCACCCTAAACACGGAGACGCGCGCACATGAAGGCTCTCTACGCAAAGCGACGGGTCCCCACCGTGTCGTCTTAGAAAAGCACCGGAAACACTAGCCTTTTTGGACATGGGATTACACTGTGAGCGCAGCGTAATAAATACTATGGTCCATAAAATTACCTGTGTATGCCTTTTCTAGTGTAAAGAGAGACACCACGAAATGTAGACGTGTTGTTAATGTACCTCAGAAATGCGCTATAATTGCCGTTCAATTGTCAATCGCACAAGTATGAACGCTGAAACTTGAACAATATTGGTTGGCGCTGTGGATGTAGATGGATTTTAACTGTTCCGGTTGTCGTTTTGGCAGACAAACAAGCAAACATACATACATACATCGTTAGAGTATGTCTAAGAAGGAAATGTTCTGTTGAGTGTGTGGGTTCTCGGCGAGGCGAACGAGCGCATCGCCACGCCACGCTCTTGGAGTGAACGGACGCAGCAGACGCGGTCGGTACAAAGCACACAACAAACATACATTTATTAACTAATTTAGACGACCATATCGTCCGCCGAATGTTACATCAATTTTAATTAACACGCTATCATACAAACAACATAACGCAGCGACACACTTAACACACAATAACATGATGAACACACACTAACACACCCAACACACTAACACATACCCAAGGCGGCGTCGCCAACGCCTGACTTTCCACGTGGGACCTCGGCGCGAAGCCCGCGGTGCCGAGCATCGGGGACCTACGCTACAGACAACCGTTCGCGGCAGCCGCCACGCGCAGAAGAGGCTCGCTCAACTCTCGGCCACCACCAAGGCCTGCCTTCCGCCAGGGGCCACCGCCGGCGCTACCACTCTACCAACAGTGGTACTCAAAGCGAACACAACGCCATCTATCGCCCGGCGGTGGTCACCACCTAAATAAAACCTTGGAACGAGACACGTGCGCCACGCGGCGCAGACAACTTTACAGGGGGGGGGGGGGGGTGTCAGCACCTCCACAAGTGTTATTGACGTTTGTGGCTATAAATTTTTTCTAAACACATACATACATACATACATACATACATACCAAAATTTTTCCGTTCAAGTTCCCCAAGAAAGTTTAGTATTTAATATTATTATTCATACACGTCGTCACATGCTCTCACTGTCACCATTGAAGCTGACATCGACGTGACGTTACAGTAGCGACAAATTCTCCTAAACCCCTGAAAGACAAGGTGTTTTCGGAAAAGAAAGTTGTGTTCATGAAAGCATCGGTCAAGCTTTCTGTGACTTGTCTTACCACTCATCGTACCTCTGCGGAACATTAAACTTACATGCTTCTGGTATCTGTTTATTTTGGATAACTGAGCAGAAATATTTTGTTTTCTTGGCGCAGGTTTTGCCTTTGTTGGGTCTGCTTGCTTGGCTACACGTGAACAACTGGGAGAAGATATTCCCAACTCTTTCATCGGAATTCGCACAATGACCCACGAAATGGCGCACACGTAAGCAGCACATATTCAGTAGCCTGCACTAATAAAATCAGTACCGCATTTTGGTTAAGGATTTTACATTGAATAAAAATAAATAATGACTTAAAGTAATGTTGCACACTAAAATGCAGATGGAAATAATATTGCCAGTTTTCCAGAATAAAAGAACGAGCATTTATTGGAAATCAATTCTATAGATTGCCACAGGGTGGTGGAAGTGTTTTTAAATGAGAACTGGCCACCACTCATTTGTGATATGAAGCTATAAAGAAATACATAATAACTTCTTTCAGAGAAAACTTCCCAGCTGCAAAAAAAAAAAAAATCTCACGGATTCCTTATCAGGATGATTTTGTCCCAGTGAGAGCCCAGAAGCTTTCGTATAGTATGAAACACAAGCGACAAGAAAATAAGCTTACCCGTTCATTTCTAAGCCCTGTACAGATTGTCAAGCGGATACAGATTCTCTTGTGACAGTGATGGTTTATATTTTAGTAGAGTGTTTCACAGTGTCGCGAGTTTGCCTCATAGGCAATGCGCACATAAGTGTTATGGGGTTGGCGGACCCTCCTAGATACGGAAAGAGGGACGTTTGCCCCATACTTTCACATATTAGATGGAGGCGTTGCGATAAACAATGCCCCCCTCCCCTCTCTTGACGCCTGAGTGAGTGACCCTGCGCACACCTATAGTACGCAGCTGTGTTAATCGACAATCAGGGGACAAGTGAGTAATGCACACCATACCACACTTAAAACTGGTAGTACCAAGATCCAAGAAATATATGGGGATGTGTTTACTGCCATCGGGCTTAGTAATTTCCCTTGCACTCCGTTTTCTATAGTTATGTGCTTTGTTCAAAGTACATGCCAGCTTTATTGCAAATGTTAGTCTGCGCTTGTTTGGTCAGGATCTACTTGTGCACCATATGCGCTGTTTTCAACAAGAGTAAATATAGTAAATTGATATACTTAGTGCGGAAATTGATTGCAGGTTCATTTTGAATTCGTGAATTGATTCATTTCCTGGGCGCCGCAAAAGTAAGACATTGCGATCTGTTTGAGCAGCCGCGCGCGCTCGCTGCCGCTCTACTTTGGAAAATTCGCGCGCGCGCGCTCGTGTACTCTGCGTTTGGTTCGAACGTGGGGTGCACAATTTCTCTGCGCTTCATTCAAACGCACAGAACGCAAAGCCGCAGCAGACTAAATAAAAACGCTCGATCAAGATGAGCTCAATTCACAAGAGGAACCTACCCCTAGGGAAACCTACTTTCTTCGGTACATAACACTTAGGTTATGGGGATCATGAAAACTACACGATTCCTCATAATAGGTAAAACTTGCAATGTGCGACAACTCTTGAGGTGCAGTGTTTTGTACTACTAGTACTTATACTTCTAGCACTATTATTCATAATAATAATAATAATAATAATAATAATAATAATAATAATAATAATACATAAGCAGTGTCATTATTATAATATTTTGGATATTACGCTGCGAAAACGCAGTATGTATATGAGAGACGCAGTATTAGAGATCTCTAAATATTTTTACCACCTGATTTTTTTACATCGCAAAGTATACGGGCTTCTGGCTTCTTTTTTTTTCACAAAAGGAACCCATAACGGCCGGTATCAAATCTACTACCATTAGTTCAGCACTTCAGCACCCTAACTAGTGAGCTGCAGCGTACCGCAGTTTACGAACAATAAATTGATGTATATAAACTATTTCCCGCTCATTATTCTTAAATTTTGTGCGTGTTCATATTTCAGCTTAGGGTGCGATCATGATCAATCGACGATTGAAGGTCACTTAGAGGGATACGTAGCGAACTCTACATATTGCCCTTGGGACGAAGGCTATATCATGAGCTATCTTATAAAGGACGGCAGAAGCAAGCAGTTTTCAGAGTGCTGCTCCTACGACATGAGACGCTATTCCTGGTACGTATCAGTTTATGAGAAACCTTGAAATCATGTAAATAGTTGGATAGCTTGCCGCATACAGCTACGTAAACATTCAAGAAAAATGCTGGGTGCTTCACAGATGGGGTCTGCAAATGTGGCATAACGTTTTGTGTGAAGTCAGCTCTGCTCTAACTTATCTATAAAGACTGAACAGATTTTGAAATGTCTCTAAATTGTCTTTCTGCTGGTTGTCTCAGTCAGTAGTGGCTATTATTGTCACACGCGGGTTATGAACATGTACATTTGCCTCTCAATTTTTATACAAGCTATGCCATTCTCCTAATTTATCCTGCTTGCATGGTGAATAATAAGATGCGCGCTTGGCCTATACGCTTGGCCTACGCCTGATTGGACCGATTAGGGGTATGCGAATAAAAAGGTTTTTCAGAATATGAACCAATTACGAGTCCGACAAACAGCTTGCACCAACTATGAAATGAATCAATGAGTACGAATGTAAGTAGAGTAAATAAATATATCCTAAAATAAGTAAACCTCATGCATACTGTTGAGCATTAAGCGATGAAAAAGCTGTACATTCATTCCAAAGTACCAGGCCAGATTTCATCGCAATGTACCTGTAACATTTTTTTACGGTGGCCTATTTGCTCTCTCCTGTTCTCCTCTACCTTATATATATATATATATATATATATATATATATATATATATATATATATACGATTTTTCTTATATATTTTATCATGTCACGTTGCTTTTATATATATTCCATGTCTGTTATATTTATGTTTTGTGCTTTTTTTCATTCGTATGTTGCTCTTTCATCCAAATGTGTCTAGGAAACACTATTGACAATTACTTGTTTGTATATGGCCCCCATTACTAGCAATTTAAAGAAGGGCCATACTGTGTTTGAAATCGATTTGTAATAATTTCATGACAATAAATCTTAATCAATCAATCAATCAATCTATCTATCTATCTATTTGTTTCAGGATGTATGGGGCTCAATGTCTTCATTGGAAATCAGCAAAAAAGATTTCTCCAAAGTTTACAAAGAAATACAGATGGCCCGGTGAATTCACAAAAAAGGACAGACAGTGTCAGCTTACGTACCCATTTTTCTCCCAAACACAGTATATTAAGGTAAATTTTATTGCATCAGACAGCTTATAAATAACACGCTTTGCAAGTGGTGCCATGTAAAATGTTGCTAACAGCGGCTTTATTCTGCAATACTGCAGGATTCGACAACCGACGATTGCATGATGAGTTGCTCCGTTCCGAAAAACTACCGAAGAGGGAACGAGTCTAGCTGGGTTACGGAATGCTTTGACGGCAGCCGCTGTGGATCAAGCGGCAGAAGAGTAAGAAAATGCGTTTTATCACTGACACTAATGACTCATTCACACAGGTGAAATCACTGCCTACCACGACTGGAATTCTCTAGGCACCGAAATTGCACTACAATCCCACTGTTTGCAACTACGCCACTGATGCTCAATACGGTGTCATCTGCCATCTAATGAGCTGAACAAATAGGAAGCGCAGTATATAGATAGCCCTTTTTAGATAACATATGTGGACAAGTTGGTAGCTGTTGTTAATGGTGTAAAAAGCATTGTTAAAATGAATACAAAAACCCAAGAAAGAAGGCATGCTTTTAAGAGAGGATAGAAGAGAAAAGTGAGCCCTGAAACCACCTGCAGCTAAGTGCGACATCTAAGCATGAGCTCACAAGAGAGGGGATAGGGAGAAATTAAAAGTGATAGAAAGAGAAGTAAATTTTGAGAGAAAATAAAAAAATGGTAACACGGTCGGGAGAGTCAGAGGATGGGAACCGCTCGGCGAGAGCTACACTGCACCAGCAATTCGTGGACGGTGAGCTGATCGGCTTGAGTGATGGTTGCTTTGGACATTATAGACGACATGATCATTACGCACGGAATTAACGAAGTGAGTGAAAATGGCTCATGCCCTACCTCTTTTTTTGCATTCATTATATTGCTGCTTCTTGAATCATTGGATCCCGGGTGGTTTCGTGACTTTGCGCCCGAATTGTGTACGCGTATCGCAACAGCCAGTCAGTGAGATGAGCAGGATAAGAGGCATCATACTGCGAGGCCTGTTGGCAAACATTTTAGGGGCGAAGCTCCTTAGGGCGTGGGCTGTGCGTCCCCTGTAGCCTGTATGTAGCCACCTCTATTTTAGTTCTTGCAGTGTTCACTAGATGGCGGTACCGTCCCCTGTATGTAGCCACCTCTAGTTTAGTTCTTGCAGTGTTCACTAGATGGCGGTACCGTCTCCTGTATGTAGCCACCTCTCGTTTAGTTCTTGTAGTGTTTACTAGATGGTGGTACTTGTAGCTGATGATGAAAAGATGCAAGATGTTATAAACTAGAAAGCGGTACTTGTAGTTGATGAAAGACGCGAGATCTTATAAAATAGGAATGATGTCACATATGGCGCGTGTCATTGGTTGAAGGCAATCGTTCGATTTAGTGCGGCGACGTACGCTAGGGGGAGCGATGTAATAAAATCGAGTGGGCAAAATGTACAGCGGATTCATGGTTTACCAGGTTTACCTCCGGAGCTTCGCCCACTCATCATCATTCACTTCGTGGATATGGCGGAATTTTTTCTGTTGATGCTTGAGCAGCTGGAAGATTAATTCATTGTAGAAAAAGCAATGCCCACGGAATTATCAGTGATGTGCCATTTTAAGAGCCCACACATCCACCTTTGTTCCTTGTTGTCCTGCAACCTTCACATGTCAATAAAAGACCCTATTTGTGGTAGAATAGAAGCTAAAAGGTGCGGTGCTGGCGCCTCCTTTGACGAAATTCACGTTGACAGTGTAGACGGCACCCTTGAAACTAATGTGTCTCTGTGATGCGTTTCACTGAACGCTCACATCACGCAGACGCTAACCAATAGCGATTTTCCTGTTATAAAGGATTTTCGTAGAAGAGGTTCCTAACAATGAGCAGTCTTGCCCACACCCAGCTGGTATCACGTAAACTGTTTAAGAAATTGGAGCAGCTGCATCCTAGTCGCGCAAAGGCCGTGGAAACAGCGGATTTGCTAGACAGCTCCTTATCTTTCCCTTTTTAGCCTCATCTTCCTTTCGTCCCGCCGCCGTGGTCTAGTGGCTAAGGTACTCGGCTACTGACCCGCAGGTCACGGGTTCGAATCCCAGCTGCGGCGGCTGCATTTCCGATGGAGGCGGAAATGTTGTAGGCCCGTGTGCTCAGATTTGGGTGCACGTTAAAGAACCCCAGGTGGTCGAAATTTCCGGAGCACTCCACTACGGCGTCTGTCATAATCATATCGTGGTTTTGGGACGTTAAAACCCGCATATCAATCAATCAATCAATCATCTTCCTTTCCTTACCACTACCTAAGCTGTGTATAGTACCGGTCGATGTGCTATGTTTCTATTTCTTCCCTCTTTATTTTTCTCCTTTTCACGCTTAATTTCTTTTCCCACCCATGTGCTATACAGCCCTGTACGAAGCTGTGTTATACTTTCTTTCGCTGACTGTCATTTTCACGAGGTATCTGTTTCTTCCTCTCTTTCATTCTCTCTATATTCTCATTTAGATTTGTTTTTGTTTACTCTCTTATTGCATTATCATCTTATATTCCCCTTTACAGCTTATCTCCGATCATACCTATATACATAACCCAGTGGCTACGACACTCGCCTTTGAACTGATGGCAACCGGATTCGAGTGCCACTTTGCAAAATATTTCATTTATTTTCTTTCATCTTCAACTCTACCTGTCATCTCGTTTCCTCCTGCTTGTATTCATCTTGACTTCGTTAAGCAAGCATCTGGCTTGGCGTTCGCCTCCCTGCACATGCAGGCTTCTTCACTCAGCACTTCTCGTTTTAATATGCAGTACTCTACTCCTACTCTCCCACGCCCTTCCTCATCACTTCCCATCAATCTTTTTTGCTTCGCCCTCTTCCTCCATTGTCCTTGCATTCCGTTGCACCTGGTGTATTTGGTTGTAGGGCTTGCCAAATTCTTCGGGAACATATCCGATCAAGTTTTCTTGAACGCGACGAGAATTTAAAGGATAATCTAAATACTCTGCTGTTATTTGAAGCTCAAGTTACTCAGCTTATACCACAGGAGTGGTCACTGGCATCAAGCGAATGTCACCGTCAGTCGGGTACAGTTTATGTATGTTGTCGCACCTGCGCAAGGCAACGTAGAGGAATTTTGGTGCGTGCCGTTCACCATCTCATCACTGCTTCATATCCACACCTGGCTGCCTTTAGCAGGGAATCGTAATCCTTTTTAATTATTACTGACGTGTGAATTCCCTATCTCCATTCAGTTAGTAGCTACTCCAATAATAAAACACACAGCCAGTAGCCGCATGTTTCTTTATAAAAATATATATCTTTTTTTCTTTCAGATATGTCTGAATTCAGATTGTGTGGAGGACCCGAGGCTGCATGGCAATACCGAAAAGTCAGAATAGCCTGAAAAGGACTCTGCCTTTACAAACTGTTATAGTTCAGTGAGCTGCTACAAGAACTGGCTAAGGTACCCGTATTTCGGACTGTTCGCCTATCAACACTCTGAAATAAACACAGGGAATATAGTTAAACTGGTCCATCTTAGGGTTCAATAAATGTCTCATGAAAAGTGAGATACTAGCTTACCAATATGGTACTGTCTGACACTCTAAACTGTGCTCACACGTTAAAGTCAAGTTGCGATACTGTACGCCACACTTACACATATTTGCTTGTGCCCCACTCATCATTCTTCGTGCGTTGATGACATTCCTATACTTTTATTTGAACCTTCAGAAGTACACTTCGAGGTATTTTCAATCAGATCAAATATATAGACGTCTGATGTATACACACACAAAAACACACGCACATGGTAGCGGTTGTACGCACGCCATTTAGATCAAATACGTACGGCGTTGTAGTCTTGACTAAAGAATCTACGACAGCAGAGCATGCCACGCTTGCTTTCGCTATCAGGAACCACAAATGGGCTACAACTATAGCGATTCCAACGAAGCAAATATAAGATTGTACAATAATTACGTTGCTGGAACTACGGTTAAATTTATCGACAAGGTCAAAATTATTGCAAGTGAACTCCGACGGTATCTGGTACATGTGGGACAAGAAAATTAGTCTCGGGTCAACTTCAGTGAGGCGGTAAATCACCTGGCACAAATAGTCTATTTCTTTGCCGACCAGAACGGAACGTAAGTCTACTACCATCCGTGGGACATATTATTGACTAACTGACGAAGACGTAAATACTACTTGGGTCCTAGGGAATTCCCGCTGCTTCACGAGAAGTAAAGCAACGCTCATGCAGTCACGCTGCTTTTTTACTGCTTACCTTGAAATACTTCACTTTACAATTTTGATTTAAAATTTACCCCTAAATTGACTCCTAAAAGGAATGTTACGTGTGCGGTGGCATCATCGACTGCATACACATGCTGGTGGACTTTTTTGTGACTCTTAGCTACCCACAAGAAACAATGAATACCTGGCAGAATGTGGTCACAATCGCTTTATGCCAAGATCAACTACGGAGTGCCCAGAAAATGCCATAAGTATTGGCATGACGGAACCCACACTCGCGTCGTACGCCTCGGCCTGAAAATAACTGCTTCGGGACTCTTGATAATTTTTTATATGAATGAATGAATGAATCACTGAGTCAACGAACAATTAAAAAAAAACTTGATTTCAGAAAAAGTGTAATGAAGAATTCATGAGCTAAAAGAGAGGCACTCTAGGTCCAAGGCTCCACTGACTTTTGCCGTTGGGTGGACGTAATATAGCATCGCCAATTGCGTGTCTAGGTCTGAGCTGGCAAGGAGAGCTTACCACTACTCTTTTTTGAAGCCTGATATGTGGTTTAGAAATTTATATACGCACGCTGTTTTTTGTTGACTCTCCAATGAGATCTGGAAATGCGTTGATTTGCCTCCGTACTAGAAACCTGTTTCTTTAGGGCTCTCCTCTTTTTCTGTTTTTGGATGAATGAATGCATGAATAGTACAGCTAGTTGGAGCAAGCAAGTGTGAGCCATCACACTCTTTGAATGCGGATTTCTATTCAAGCTCCTTAGCACAGAACACTGGCCATTTAGCGGTGACCAATCTAGGGGCGAAGGTCACGTAGTGAACATGGCCGCTAATGTCACGAACGATGACAAAACCACTACGTGCACACTAAGCGCCTGTTGAAAAAAGATGTCGAAGTAGTAAACGCGTGCACGCAAACACTGCCCGAGAGTAAAAGTTTGAACAAACGGCATTCAGCCTAGTTCCTTTGCCGATCGATACTTTTGATTACAACACCTTTTGCTTAGACAAGCCCGCCTAGGTACAGCACTATCTTTAAAATGTTATGCACTCAGTTCTTTTGTTATAAGAATCGTAACACTGCGCCATCGCTCACACTCAAACGGACATTCATTCAAAAGTATGTAGGTTATTTCGCATAGAAGATACGCACAACTAGCATGCGTAGAGGAGCTGGTAGGAAAATGCACTAGTTCAAACTTAGAAATTTATCTTGATGAAACTGCGCACGAGTGACAAAAAGGCAAATCAAACAAGCTTATTACTGATTAGGTTTAATTATTTGTTAGGCAACCATACTGAGGTTAGGCTGACGCATGACTACGTTTTTATGCAGAGTGGGTCTATCACTTCTCTTCTTTGATCCATCATTGTGTGTGATGAGCACCATCGTGCCACTGAACAGGGAAGTTCACCTACCGGTGCGAAAGTTCCAAAGTGAATTGGAATACTTGCAAATCTTCATGGATCCAGAGTGTTCTTTTAGGTGTATAGGTAGGCAGCTCCCCGTCTGTACTTTTCTACAAGATAAGGGGTATGCAACAATTATTGCTCATGACAATAGTGCACTCACATGCTTCATACCACACTTTGTTCAGACAGACCTCTCTTTTTAAGGTTTCATTTCCCCCAGCTGGCATTGTTTGCCAAACTTATTGTTCTGTAATATTTTTATTTTTCGTTGAGTGGACTTTAAATTAAAGCAATATGCGTGAGCAACCTTCTAGAAACCATGCTAATACAGGTCTCCTTTAAGTCGGCTTCGCTTTCGAACACGAGTGCATTGCTTTGATATACCTTTGTAGGATACTACTTAAGCCTTTTTATGTCGAGTTATGACGGCCCAATGAACTTTGTTTACCATATTAAATTTTCTATTGAAGGCACTCTTATGTGCATGGCATTTCGCATAATCTGCGAAACATAGGCCGACAAACAGGTGTCCATGTAGTGTTCTCGGAGCCATTATGATTTTCGGGCCTGTGCAAAAAAGTGAATGGTGGTAAGAAGCGCACACAATCGCGCAAAATCAAGCATCCTAACTCCTACTTTTCACGCCAAAAAGAGGTGATGTACAAGATCCCTTTAACCTGCGCCAAGCTTTACATTGGTCAGGGGGGCATTTACCTTAACACTCTGTTTATGGAACACAACCAACACTTCTCGGCTAAAGATTTCGACCATTTGGCATTTCATTCTTTGGATTTTGGATGTGCCCTAACTCTCACAGGTACGGAGGTAGTAAGAGAGCAACGCAAAAAGAAAACGATAGAAATAATCGAGAGAATTAAAATAAAAAAATTAAAACACCAATTCGTCAGTTGCCTGTCAGTATCATCTCTGAAAAAGCCGATGGATACATCGTTATTAAACCATATACTGTCTTGGAATTTTCGTCATAACCACGTGTTTGTTGTGTACTTTTCTTTGTGTATTTTCATTTGATGTGTTCTTCATTTTAAGGACTGCTGTGAGTGCGCGCGCGTGTGTGTGTACGTAAACCTGTTCATTAGACAATAAATAAGCAGGTGCAGTGCACCATTTCTGTTCATGTCTTTTTGTGTGTGTACTTGCTTCGTGTCCTTTTGTGAACTGATTCTTCGAAAACACTTTATTGTTCCTTAGAAAATCAGCGCTGTCTTGGTGGCGCGTTGAAAACGCACACGAGGCGCTCAAAACGAGTTGGCTGAAAAAGTCCTAGTACGACAGAGCCCTTGAACTACGTTGTAACGCTTAGGAGTTGTTTCGTGACTTTATCGGCTGTCTCTGGTGTTGTGCTGTGTTTGCCTGTTTACCCTACAGCAGAGAAAATAAAGTTGCCGAAAAAAACAAATCGGGAGCTGTGACTGGAGAGCAGACTGGTGTTGTGAACGAGCCATATTGCCATCGGAGAACTTGCAGTATACTGCTTCAGCAGTGTTGTTTTCGTGGAGGGGTACTTTCACAACAATGCGGTGTCAAGATAGCTCTGCAAAATAGCTCTGCAGGGCAAGATATGTTTTTGGTGTTGAGAAATGCATGCGGCAGCAACTCATGTTCTGAGGGTGCAGTCGAATGTCACTCACAAGTCAAACAAATCTCGTACGACGTGAAATTACAGTTTAGTGTGCCTTAAAATTGCGCATGTGAAAGCTCAAATCGATCTGTTATCTGTACGCTATTTTACCACTTTTCGTGACAATTAGTATTTGGACATAACTGAACATACCTTCGGCCATGTGGAAGCTGAATTGAGTAATCATATCGCTTACAAAAGTGGCACTAACATATTTTGTGGCATGTTAACGTGCAGGTAAGGTTCCGTTTTATATTTTGCGTTTCATTTCAATGTGTTAAACAGTGATGAGCAGAACACGTATACATAATATGTAGGTAAAATTTTCGTAGTTCGTCCCCTCGCTGGGGAGAATCTCTTTTTTTTTTTTTGCAGAGCTTTTCTTCGCGAGATTACGATCCATGTAAGAGAACTAAGAACATGCCGCTCTTACACAACAGGCAGTTCCCTTGTAGCCTTGTAGCCGCGGTTTCAAAATTTGTGAGTCTTTTTTTCTAATAGTGTCACTCAAAGGAATGTGATGAAGCAAATGCTTCTAAAAATTATGACAGAGAATGTCGACGGAGGCAACGTTTTGACAAATGTAATTTTCTTCATAAAGGCGATGTTGTTGTTCTGACGAAGACAAGTCAACTTGCCGTAACACTGTTTCCAGCGACGTTCTTCCCCAAAAAACTTCTGATCGCTTCAAGACTCTCCGTGATTCTGAACTCTGTCTCGTTTGGTACTCATGTTCCGAAAGAAAAATATGCCCACCGTCATAACAAGTGCGATTGAGTCAAATATGGCACGTCCTACTCGCGATTGATGATAGCATTCGCAGTGGTTCGGATATTTTTGCTTCAATGTTTGCTGACTATGCCCGTATGTCAGTTAAAACTTCTTTTATAGATTGTCACTTTTCCACTACGTGTATGCTAGTTTTGATGCAAAATGTGCAATAAAAAAAGTTCATATCATTTTATTTGTCATGATGAAGTGTCGTCTGATTGAGAAAGTAGTCAGCTCCACTTTAACCTCTTAGGAACACATGAACAAAATAAAAATTGATTATCAAATTTTAATTAATGGCTGCATCGCCCAAGCGGCTCACAGACTTTCAACAGGGCTGGACAGCTATACCCACAAAGTATTTGCGAGTACAGATAA